TGCAATTATTCATAGCACTAAAAAATTATCAACAATACAATATATTATATATGTAAAATATAATCTAAAAGTTAGATCAAATTTATTAAACACTAATGAAGATGTAGCCTAGTTATTTATATGTATAAAATAATTAAGGTTTATTACGAAATTTGTTTTAAGCTACTAATTCTGTAGTTAGATTTGTAGTGTGAGCTTTCTGATTTTAACAGTGAGATAAAAGAATTTAAAAATTAGGTATTAAAATTTTATAATTCAACAAAGTTTATTAAACAATTAAAAGGTATTGTTTGATAATAGTATTCTCCATGATATCTTAGTGCAAATTTGCTGTTTGGTTCAATATCAAGTAATTTTGTTAGATCAATATTGCATCTTCTGGGATAAAATTAAAATTTCCTCTAAATTTAAGAGCAATATCATGTTTGATTTTTAGCGAGTTTTCTGAATCTTCAATTATACATATATTCATTGTATTAATGTACATATTAAATAATTCTATCCATTTTGTTCTCAATAATTCATTATCTATATCGTCATTAGTCGTTTCTATTTACAAATAAGATTGCATTATTAAATTACAAATTAAAAAAAAACATACACTTATGATTATTCAACATTTACCTGTGTATTTAAACTTTTTGCTCCAAAATTTATTTCTATGGATCCACCTTGCGACGTCCATCCAACACAAGGATACAAGGTACCTTTTAAATTTCTGTATGATTTAATTCAACAAACTATAAAGTTTTTGTAATAATTATCTATTTATACTATATAAAGAATAATAAACAAATTTAAATAATTTTATAATAAATTATATTAAGCATATTTGTTTTTTCCTTCATCTATTATATCAACTTCAAAATAAAATGACTTGCATTGCGAAGGAATTGGATGTTTTACCCGTATTGCACCAACATCTTCATCACTTTCACCCAAACCTATGTTAATTAGAAATGTTAAATCATTTGCCATTTTAATCTATATAAATAGTCTCACTAGCGATGAGCAAATGCATATAGTTATTCGAAAGTTTATTGATAATTTGAGCAAGCTTGCTTGCATTAATATACATGAAATTTGAAAAAAATTAATTTGTATGTCGCTAAGACCCAACCCATCTTCATAATTCACTCTAAGCCCACTCGAATCTATGCTCAAAAAGTAGATTTATCATCGAGATTCCAAGCAGTTGGTAAATCTATGAATTGTGTTAAGAGTAGGGTAAACTTTTTTTAATATAAAAAAATTAATGACTAATTTTTTTATTTTTTGGTTAGTACTGGCAACAAGAAAAAACGGAATAGTAAAGAAAATAAATAAAAAAAATGCTAGTACTTATTTGAAGGCCAGCTCTGAGTCCCACTTCGAATTATTTTTAGAAAAATGAAATCAAAAAAGAACGGCCAATTTTAGCACACATTCTTCGACCGGCCAATATAGCATACAGTTATCTAAAAAGGCAGTTAATCTAGTTTTATAAATAAAATACACATAACTACAAATAAAATTTTACTTCTCTGAATTATTGAGGCAGCTAAATCATAACTGTGAAGGCTCCAACGACGAAACCGAAGCGATGGAGTCATTAGTGGCTCGGCTCTCATTTCTTGTTTGATTTAAGTACCTAAAAGAAAAGAAATTAGTATTGGCTACAAGAAAAAACAACCTAATAAAGAATGCTGGGTACTTATCTAAGACAATCTCTTAGTCCCATTTCAAATTATTTCTAAAAAATTAAAATTAGAGAAGAACAGCCAATTTTAGCACACATTCTTCGACCAGCCAATATAGTACACAGTCATCTAAAGAGGCAGTTAATCCATTTTTATAAACAAAATATACATAAACTACAAATAAAAATTTTACTTCTCTGGATTATTGAGGCAGTGAAACCATAGCCGCGAAGGCTCCAATGATGAAACCAAAGCGATGAAGTTATATTAGTTGTCTGATTTAAATGAAGTACCCAAAAGAAATTAGTATTGACCAACAAGAAAAAAAACAACCTAATAAAGAAAAGAAAAACAAAATGCTAGCTACTTAACTAAGGTAATCTCTTAGTCCCATTTCGAGTTATTACTAGAAAATTAAAATTAGAGAAGAATAGCCAATTTTAGCACACATTCTTCGACTGGCCAATATAGCACACAGTTATCTAAAGAGGCAGTTAATCCATTTTTATAAACAAAATACACAAACTACAAATAAAAATTTTACTTCTCTAAATTATTGAGGCAGTACCATAACCGTGAAGGCTCCAACAACGAAACCGAAGCGATAAAGTCATATTCAGTTGTCTGATTTAAATGAAGTATCCAAAAGAAATTAGTATTGGCTACAAGAAAAAAACAACCTAATAAAGAAAAGAAAAACAAAATACTAGCTACTTAACTAAGATAATCTCTTAGTTCCATTTCGAGTTATTATTAAAAAATTAAAATTAGAGAAGAACGGCCAATTTTAGCACACATTCTTTGACCGGCCAATATAGCACACAGTCATCTAAAGAGGCAGTTAATCTATTTTTATAAACAAAATACACATAAACTACAAATAAAAATTTTACTTTTCTAAATTATTGAGGCAGTAAAACCATAACCGCGAAGGCTCCAATAACGAAACCAAAGCGATAAAGTCATATTCAGTTGTCTGATTTGAATAAAGTACCCAAAAGAAATTAGTATTGACTACAAGAAAAAAATAACCTAATAAAGAAAAGAAAAACAAAATGCTAGCTACTTAACTAAGATAATCTCTTAGTCCCATTTCGAGTTATTACTAGAAAATTAAAATTAGAGAAGAACGGCCAATTTTAGCACACATTCTTCGACCGGCCAATATAGCACACAGTCATCTAAAGAGGCAGTTAATCCATTTTTATAAACAAAATACACATAAACTACAAATAAAAATTTTACTTCTCTGAATTATTGAGGCAGTAAAACCATAACCGCGAAGGCTCCAATGACGGAATTGAAGCGACGAAATCATATTAGTAGAAGCTCGACTCTCATATCGCATCTCTGATTTCAAATTAAGAAGTACCTAAAAGAAAAAAAAGAGAAGCTAGTCATTTTTTACCGACCCACTTAAAAAAAAAAACTTCATTGTGGGTATTGTGGGTTGGGATAACTCAAATATAATATCCGTGTCACTTCATATTGATTAAAATCAGCGTAAATCTTTTTAAGGCAGGCCAAATATAATGGTTTGCCTTAGTCCCATTTCACGTCTCAGCCTCTAATTTCAAACGACGAAGCGCCTAAAGTAAGAGAGAAGTCAGTGCCAGTAGTTATACAAAGACCGGCCCCAGTCCCATTTTGCACCTCATTTCTTAGTTTCAAACGAGAAATAAAGGGAGAGAAATTAGCGCCGGTGACGAGCACATTTTTCATCGGTTTAATACAATTAGAAGTAAAAGAAACTTTGTATAAGGAAGCTTACATGCATGCAAAAAAAATTTATTTAAATTAGAGAATAGATAAATACGCGTCTCTTCCTACACTTCCCATTGGAAGAAACCAATTACATCACTAATCATATGGCTAAAATTTCATTTTTTACAGGATCCTCGTGATTTCCCGTGATAATTAACCAATCATACATAATTTTTAATTAATACTACAAACTAATAAATATACGCTAAAAAATTTATTATTAATTTGTAGAGAATAGATAGATACGCGTAAAGTAGGAAATAAGATATTTTAGTACTAATACCAGGAACAGAGTGCAACTATAAAAACCGAAGAGAAAAAAATTTCAATTCCTATTCGCAAATTTGGATAGCTAACATTTACGGCCATATAAAGTTAATTTTTTGATTCTCATAACAAAAAAAATGATCCGCGAAAATTATAATCTGAAACCCGGTAATATTGTAAAATAAAATTCAATAGTATATGA